CTTTCCGAGCACGACAGCGTCCTGGGTACGGGCGTTGTCTCACCGTCTGAAGTTAATACACTACACAAACAGGTTCCGATAAGTACGCGGAGTACGGCCGACAAACACTATTATTTTCTTTACCGTGCCGCAGACCATACCTATAGTTAAAGGCTTACCTATTAGACCACTTAGTCAGCGCTGACTAGACAAATGGCTTAACAATTGGCATTAAAAGTCTCACGCACGGGTTCGAATCCCGGCTACTTACTTTCCCAAGCACCATTATGTCCACTGCAGTCAGCGCCTGGCGAGGGGTCCGTCCCCGGATATCCAAGCCGTAAACCGCAAGAAAATGTGTTCCAGCCGGGTGCTAACGAGCTGAGCGTATATCTTTTGTCGCCAATTGTTAAACCATTTGTCTAGTAAGCGCTGACTGCAGAGAACAGAATGGTGCTTGGGAAAGTGAGTAGCCGGGATTCGAACCCGTGCGTGAAACTTTTGTCACCATAAAGTTACACCATTAACGGTGTAACTTTATCTTACAATACCGCACGAATCACTACCACTCCTACCTTCCTCCGCTTTCTTTAACTCGCCTCAAAGTAGCAACAAGCAAAGGATTTCGACGCTACATAAGCATCAAAAACAGAACCAAACCACACTGTATTATATCAAAACCACATCGGAACCACACTGACTGGCCGTTTCCCAATGATACCTATAACGTTACGAAACTGACCAGGAACTTCAAAAGGTTGGTGTGAAGTATTTGCTAGAGGAAGGGAGACTGTACCAAATGATCCCAGGAAGACCACCCACCCTCCCTGTCTGTCCACGCTCATGGCGGCGATCAACTCACAGCAGACCATTGACGGGTAAACGACTTCAGGAGGGTGGGAGGTTTGTGCAACCCTATCCCTTCCGAACCATGTTGCTCTCAAGTCAAACCATATCCACTACCGTTATCTCAACATGCAAGAAAAATTTAAACGCACGGACTGGTGCCATCCGTGTACAAAACACGGGCCCCGCCAGAACGCGAAGCGCATTTCACTGCGTTCCAGGAAGCAAGCATTCATCCACATAACACAGCAGTATAATAAAATACGCAAACAGCATTCTACACAGGCGCCGCAGCAGCAGTATTTACAGCGTTGCCCTCAGCATCCTTCCTCCAACTTCCCCGGTTCCCGCAGCAGCAGCAGTAGCAGCAGACCACTCCTCCGATGGCGGTGGGTTTTGTTCCTGGCGGCCCCACGGACCCCGGGCGGACTAGCTAAATAAACGGCTAACCCCTGTGGTGCTCGCCCCCCACCTGATCACTCCTCAACTGTTTTTACCTTTCGGCCACCTAAGCGCCAATTCAAACCATCTTCTGCCTCAACCTGAATCCAAGTGATCTCACGATCACTGTGTGAGCCTCTGCACCACCACAATGTTAGACTATACACACAGTGCCCAGTGCCCGGAATACAACCTACACGCGGTTACATTCCATCAGGCCCAATCGGCCCCCAACTTAACGCTGCAGAATTCCTCCCCCTCCAGAGGTTTTACCCCGGCAACATGTGGGTGTCACGCGCAGCCTCCGGCAAGCCAAGTCCCGAGGCAGTGCAAGCACTGTTTCTGCCAACTTCCCCCGGCCTCCCTACGCGATATTCAACAGTACATGCCCCATGCTGTGGAATGACAAGATCCACATCAGGAGGAAGACCGTGAGAGATGGCAGCAGTCCCTCCCATTTTAGGCCTTGATCACCGTAAGACAACTCGTCCGCCTCGAGGAATCTCGCGTAGTACAAGTAAGTGGCCCCCGTGACGAAGGCGAATTCCCTTCGTACACGCCAAGCGGACAAGCACACAGACGGCGGCGTCATTCTTCAGAAATGCCGAACCGCCGGAGGGGGTGCACAACTCGTGTCGCCAAAACATGCCACTGGAAATCTTCCGCCCCTCCCGGTTGAAAGAGCCGCGCTTCCAGACGCCATCAATGTCCGTCACAAGACAACCAAAGTTACGATTGGGGATGCGCATAGAACAAAGCTCATTCTGCCGGCTCAATGGCACGTGATTGGGTTAGGATATCCTTCAAAAGCCTTTTCAACCTCAGGATGGGGGACTGACCCATGCTGGAACGACGGCTTCGACGGCTGCTGCTGCTGCTGCTGCTGCTGGAGGTATCCCCCCTGGTACTCTCCCTGGGATCCTCCTCCCCACCCTGGCTGCTGCTGTCCATCTCTACATTGCTGTTTACCTTGGGAAAAAACTCCGGTCCTCCGCGGTGGACCGCCACCACCGCCGCCGCCGCCGTTGGGTCGCGAATTTCCGCCGAAACGAAGAGCGTGCGGGTCGCTGGTCGGCGCTGCCGCCCGTCGCGAACAATTCCCCAGATCTTGCTCAACGTGGTGACTATGCACAAGATTCTCCAATTCCGCGCGTGTGAGCGACCGATCAGACATGAGCACCGGCTTGAGCTGGTCGTAATCGGCCGGAAGGCTTCTACGGAGCATCGCAAGGACCTTCTATTGGAGATTCCATCGCCGTCGACGGCGCGGATTGTGGACAGCACTTTGTCAAACCTAAGAAACTAATCCCTTGGTTCCTCTCCGAGCTGCATCCTCATGTTGGTAAGGGACAGCTCCATGGCCTCCTTCTCGTTGTCACTCATCGGGAGGCAGAACCATTGCGCAGCCTCCCACGCCCCGCACACAGTCCCAACTTCCAGGACTTTGGCCGGAAAGTTTGCCCCCCTTGTGGCGCGCATCAGGTACTCCCAAGCACACTCATGGTCACGCACGCGCTGCTCACCGTGAAAGCGGAAGTTTTCGCTCCTTAACGCGTGGATGAGCCAGATGCGTTGATCAGGACTTGCTGGCTTTGCAATTGTGTGCCCAGGATCTTCGCGGGTGACGAAGGCCTCGAACAGCGTCTTGAACAGCGGGAAGTTGCCGTCGTACACCGGTGGCTTCCGGTCCTTACGCTGCACTCGATCACCCGGGAAAAATGTAGCCGCTCCTCCGGCGGTCCCAGCTCCAAAAGTGGCCGCCCCTCCGGCGGCTCCATCCCTGCCATAATACCCAGGCGCATAACCGGCGCCGTCCATCCTCATGCTATCTGCCGTATGCCCGGCATCACCTGTTCGTGTATGTCCTTTACTTGAAGGGGGAAGACGTTTTATCTCTTGTATTAGACACGCAAGGGGAGTAGGGAGAAATGAAGCCCTCTTTGGAGTTCGAGGGGCCCCGGCACATGCAATCATTTCAAGGTGTACATATGTCCCATCTGCGTGCCCTCTGTTGTTGCCGGTAGATCTAACCAGTCCGTATCCAAACACACGAACATCCTCCCCGGTTTGCACGCAAATCGCAAACCTAACGTGGGGCATGGATACCCCTCGTTTACCAATGGGACTCAAAACAACAACAGGCTCGAGGGAAAACCGGGCCAACCGGATCAAAAATCCTCGTCTAACATCCTATATATAGAAAACCGTCGCTATCATAGAGGATGCCAACGGCTGCACTTCAAAGACACGACCAAGGCAGGACAGATTGAACCGGTCACGCTGATTACACACCCGAAGCAACGCTCTCGGCGTTCTAGGCTCCAGCCGCGGATGACGCGCCGGCACAACGCTTACTGCGTGACTTACCATGGTCACATATGCCAAGTGCTATAACCACCACATAAACCAAACAGAACAAGAGAACACTACATCGGTAGGTTCATCAGAGCCTTCCGGTGGTACTCGAACTTCTCTCTGCCAAGGACCTTGGTCAGCATGTCGGCGTGCTGCTCTCCAGTCGGAACATACTCTGCAGTGATCTTGCCCGACTTGAATAGCTCGCGAATGAAANTCCTCAAGGACCTTAATCTTCGCCCCACTCGTCTCGGGCGCTATGAACGACAGAACGCCACGCACAAACAACGCCTTCGTCACGCCCTCCCCGGCTGCCATATACTCTGCTTCANGAGCTGAACGGGTTCTCGATTAAGGCGAGAGCCCCCTTGTTGTCCTCAAGAACCTTGATCTTCGCCCAACTCGTCTCGGGCGCTATGAACGACAGAACGCCACGCACAAACAACGCCTTCGTCACGCCCTCCCCGGCTGCCATATACTCTGCTTCAGAGGTCGACTGAGCCGTCACTGGCTGCGTCTTGGTGGATGCACACACTACGGTACCACCTACGGTCACTGCTAGCCTGGTCGTAGAACGCCTGTCTACTTCGTTGTCAGCGTAGCTGGCATCGACAAACACGCTTAGGTCTAGTCCTGACCCCCGTACGTAGGTGATGCCGAAGTCCTTCGTGAAGTTCAGGTAGGACATGATCCGCACAAGCGCGTTCCATATCCTCCCAGTGGGTGAGTTGGCGATCTTCTGGAGCTCGTTCAGAGGCAGGGCGATGTCTGGCCTCGTCAGCTTCGTCTACATCAGGCATCCGATCGCCTCCCTCACAGGCTTATCCACCGCGGGCTCGTCATCTCTCTTCGGCCCTAGGTCGGCATCGGTGGCAGCAAGGGTGAAAGCGGTCGTGGTCACATCAAACCGCTTCAGCATACTCTCAATGTACGCTGTCTGGGACAGCTGGGTGATGCCATTTTCTACATCCATGGCGATAGCACACCCGTCGTACCAGGTACACTCCCCCAGATTTGTCACCTGAAACTTCTTGTTGAGGGAAGGGAACAACTCCTCTCGCTCTCCCTCGTCTGCCGCCACGACGATGTCATCAACGTAGATCACGATGAGACCTACGACCTCTCCATCCACCACCTTCCGGAAGACACGCGGGTCAACCCTGCACTGCTCGCATCCATTCTCGATGAGGGCATCAACAGCTTCAAACCCCCACTCACGGTCACTGTGCTTTAGGCCATACAGGGCACGCTCAACCTTGACCACCTTGCCGGACATGCAACCACAGCCTTCCGGGAACCTGAGGTATATTTCTTCTTTTAGCTTAGCGTGGGTGTACGCTTGCTTCACATCCCAGTGAGCGAGGTTCTTGCCCTTTTCAGTGGCTACGGCAATCACCGTCTTGATAGACGCTGCAGACGGGCACGCTGAGAATGAGTGGTGGAAGTCAATGCCGTGGATTTGAGAGAAACCCCGCGCAACCATACGGGCCTTGAAGTCGACTATCAGGCCCTTCTCATTCGTCTTCCAAGAGAACACCCACTTTGAACCTATGGCCTTCCGCCCCTCGGGCAGCTCCTTGACCTTGGTAAAGGTTCCAGTCTTGTCGTGGCCATCTATCTCTTTCTTCATGGCCGCCTCCCAGAAAACCTTGCACTTGGAACACATCACATCCTTGTACGTCATCGGTACTGCTTCCACATCACTCGGCTTCTGCCCGATTGGCGAGGTCATACTTAGCTGTGGGTCTGGGAGTGGTTGCGAAGACCCGCTGGCGTCGACATCGGCCCCGAACGCCTGCTGTTCCGGGCCCAACACCTCCTGCATCTCGCGCCTGTACATCTCCATACGGCGTGTCTGCTCCTCGTCCCACTGCTCCTTCACATCGCGAGTTGCAGATGTAGCCCTCAACAATCCCTGTCCCGCCAGTTTCANGTCATCGGTACTGCTTCCACATCACTCGACTTCTGCCCGATTGGCGAGGTCATACTTAGCTGTGGGGCTGGGAGTGGCTGCGAAGACCCGCTGGCGTCGACCTCGGCCCCGAACGCCTGCTGTTCCGGGCCCAACACCTCCTGCATCTCGCGCCTGTACATCTCCATACGGCGTGTCTGCTCCTCGTCCCACTGCTCCTTCACATCGCGAGTTGCAGATGTAGCCCTCAACAATCCCTGTCCCGCCAGTTTCAAGGATGGTCGCCAGCAATGCCTCTTCCGGGTCCGGTGTTTCTCCGGGCCCCGGCATCTCCCCGGCACCTTGCATCTCCCGGGTCTACTTCCGCGTGCGGCCACTCTGAAGCCCATGGCGCAGCGGGCCAGCGTTCGAGGCACCCCAGAGGAGTTTCTTCCCTTCTAGCCCGCGGGGGTAGCGGTCGTCGGCTGGATCATACTTCAACTCCTCGAGGTTCTCGGAGTCGCCGGGATCACCATCGCTACCGCCGTCCCCACCTGGGTCGCCGGACTCGTCGCCGCCCGGGCCGCCGGCACCGCCGGCGTCACTGCTGCTGCTGCTCGGGCTGCTGCTGCTGCTGCTGCTGCTGCTGCTGCTGCTGCTGCTGCTGCTGCTGTCGGTGGGGCTGTCACTGCCTCCGCCGAAGTCGCCCCTTCCCGAAGGGGGCGACGGGGGAACGCTGCCTCCGTCCCCCGGAATCCCGTTTCCGGGTGCCGTTGGCGCCTCCTCGCGCACAAACGGCGTCGCTTGCCCTGGTCCACGAGCCTCCATCACGTCGAGGTCGGACTCACTCTCTGAGTCTCTCTCCCCCCCTCAACCTTGGCGTGATGCATCCGCTCTGCTCATGCCCTCCCCGCCCTCCTCGTCATCTGCGAGAGGTAGCAGCTGCAGGGGACCGGGCGATGCAGCGGGCACGTGGCGCCAGGTGACATTGCGGGTGGTGATTACGGTTCCAGCTTCGGTTAGCATTCGAACGCAGTCACGGGGGTGATTGTGGGCAGGACCAAGGTACCATCCTTTTTCGCCCTTGGGTTGGGAAATTGCTTTTCTTCTTGACTTGAACACGGCTGGTTTGAGAAACAGGAATGTAGACCCGATAGGCGGTGGGGGGTCGTGGAACACGTCGTTGGCGGATTTGTCTCCCTCGTTTGATTTAGTGGCGGTGCACTTCAGCTGATGGCATGCACACGAAATGGCCTCGGCCCACAACCCGGGGTGGTTCGGTGCGTCGGGGAACAGTTGCGTCGCTTGGATGCGTGACGCAAGCGCGGCATCAGTGATCAACCCTAGCGCTCTCTCCTCTACACCGTTGTATTTTGGGGTGCGAGGGGGGGTGAACTCTTGTTTGATGCCGTTTCTGCGGCAAACTTCCGCAAACTGCCCCTGGAACTTGCCGCCACCGTCGGTACGTGCGATATACACCTCACACGGAACCCCTTTCGTTCGGTAGTTCGCCAGGAACTTCTCATACCCAACCGCTGCGTCAGACTTGTGTTTTAAGAAGAAAACACGCGTCCAACGGGAGAAATCGTGTCTGATGATCAGTGTGTACCAGTTGCCACCAATGCTCCTGGTTTTCATCTTTCCCCCCAAGTCGAGATACACGCGAAATAACTTCTTAACTGCGCGTGTGCTCGTGCTCTTCTGGACGGGTTTCACCTGTCCCTTGGACATCGAACAGCCAAGACAGGGTAGCAGCGGTCCATCCGTCAGCTGCACTCCCTGCTGCTCCGCCGTGATCCTGAGCAATGTCTCGTGGGCATGGCCGTGCGCGAGGTGGTACTCGTTGAGGTCAGTGGGGTTGGCTGCCTTCGCATCGCCAGGAACAATGAGTGCGGCACAGGCGATGTCTACCTTCGGCTCGATTTGATAGCCTCGTTGGGTCAGCAGCTTTCCAGTCCGGGGGAACCACACCTCCCCCCCGGCTTTCGTGGTCAGCGTGAGGCCTCCCTTCATCCCCGAATACGTGTGGCCCTCCTCCGCCAACGAAGACAGCGAGATGAGGTTGTAGGGGGCCTCTGGTACATGGGCAGCATTCAGTACCGGTACGGGTACTCCACCATCTTCCGTCTGTAGGACTAAGGTCACATCTCCGAATCCTAGCAGAGGAACGGGGGCCTTCTCGCGTCCGATCCCCTTCACCCAACTGCTACGCTCACGGTAGTTCACGAAGTTGTCTGCACGTCGGAACATGANACTCCACCATCTTCCGTCTGTAGGACTAAGGTCACATCTCCGAATCCTAGCAGAGGAACGGGGGCCTTCTCGCGTCCGATCCCCTTCACCCAACTGCTACGCTCACGGTAGTTCACGAAGTTGTCTGCACGTCGGAACATGAAGCACGTGGCCGCTGTGTCGGCCACGTACACCGCCTGGCCTTGTTCCACAACCCCCACTAGACCTACTTCACCAACGGTATCACACTCGCCTGGGGGGACTGCCACGGCACAAAACGACTGGTCTTCCACAGAGTCTACGTCGCTCTCATGCTCCACCACTTGCGCTAGGACGGCCTCCTCCTTCGCGCACTTTTCTTTGGTGTGGCCCCACCCCTCGCAGCGCGCACACCACGGCACGAAGTCCTTCTCGTTGGTAGTGCAGCCGATCGCTTGATATCCACGATGTCCACACCTAAGGCACCGGCCCGGGAACTTATAGTCCCCGCCACCGCCGCCATCGGCGCCTCCACTGCTGCTTCCCTTGCTCTCCTCGAGTCCTCCGGATCCGCCTGAGCGGCCGCCGCGACCGCCTCCGCCTCGGCCACAACTGCTGCTGCGGCCACGGCCGCCGCCACGACCACGACCTTGCCCCTGACTCCTACTTGAGTACCGCTCCCTGCGGCCCTCACCATTGGCGAAGTACGCTTGCTCTGCGCCCTTCGCCCCTTTTCCTTTCCCCTGCTCCAGCTTGTCCTTGATCGCCTTGTATTCGATCATTACTTCCTTTAGCACACCGGTCCGCGTCAACTCCTTCGCGTGTCGCAGGTTGTGCTTTGTCATGGCATACTCGTCCGAAAGGGCATCCAGGAAGAGGTGAAGAACGAACGTTTCGTTGACAGTTATTTCTTTCTCGGTTAAGGACTTTGCGGTTTGGAGCCTCTCATTTAGGGCGTTTTGGGGGTTTTCACCTCTAGAGATCTTGGTCGACGTCAGGGACTTGAGGTCCTCTGACGGCTGTACAGATGATTCAGGGTCGTGTATGGTCTTGAGCTTACGAAGAGATCCCTGGGGCGTCTCTGCCCTCTTCATGATTTTCCGATCTTTTTCTTTCAACGCGTGAGACAGGAAGTTCCACGCGTGGAATGCGAGCTCTACTTGCTCGCTCCGGTCCTGCTGTGACAGCGAAAACTTGCTCTTTCCGCTGTTGACGGGGATCTCCAAGTTCCAGCTCTCTTCACATTGTTCCAACAGGTTTGCGCCATCAGCTGTCATGCGGAAATCATTTAGCCATTAGTTGAAATCTTTCGATTTCCCGCTGNGTCTTGAGCTCACGAAGAACTCCCTGGGGCGTCTCTGCCCTCTTCATGATCTTCCGGTCTTTTTCTTTCAACGCGTGAGACAGGAAGTTCCCGTGGAATGCGAGCTCTACTTGCTCGCTCCGGTCCTGCTGTGACAGCGAAAACTTGCTCTTTCCGCTGTTGACGGGGATCTCCAAGCTCCCGCTCTCTTCAAATTGTTCCAACAGGTTTGCGCCATTAGCTGCCATGCGGAAATCATTTAGCCATTCGTTGAAATCTTTCGATTTCCCGCTGAACGGAGGAGAAGTGTACCGCACACTTTGGTACCCCGTCGCTGGGGTTGTGGCTCCGTATCCAAAGCCAACAGCAGCACCACCATCTCCCATGGCACTACTATAATCTTGGTTGTGAGCAGCGGCTACTCTCACCTCTTGGGGGACAAAGCCCCCTGCTTCGCCGCTGTGTCGCCCTGACGGGCCAGACTCTCGAACAGGTTCGCGCAGGTACCTCCCGTCCTGCGCACTCCCGGTCCACGGTGCCCCTCCTTCGGCGTTCGTGGACTCCGTGGCGGCGCTCTCCCTAGCATCGCCGCGATCAGCGGCACCCTCCATGGTGCCAGCTGGCTCCTCCTTCTTGCTTGCCTTCATGGTATCTTCCACTAGCAACATTAGCTGGCTCATCTGATCCGTCAGCGAGCTGACTTGCGTCCTCAGGGCCACGAGCTCTTCTCTTGACCTCTTTCTGTCTTCCGCCGCAGAGTCGCTGGCGGACTCACCCCCATCTTTCCGACCTGACATTGCTAATGGACTCTCCCTCGAGGGACTGACACTATTGTGTTCGTATATGTCCTTTGCTTGGAAGGGGAAGACGTTTTATCTCTTGTGTTAGACACGCAAGGGGAGTAGGGAGAAGTGAAGCCCTCTTTGGAGTTCGAGGGGTCCCGGCACATGCAACCATTTCAAGGTGTACATGTGCCTCATCTGCGTGCCCTCTGTTATTGCCGGTAGATCTAACCAGCCCGTATCCAAACACACGAACATGACCCACTCTTCCTCTCGCGGCTTCCTCCGCTGAACCTCTCTTCCGCTTCATCTATTCTCCTCTGCATTTCCGCCATCTTGGCTGCCGCTTCCGCGGCTGCTCTCTCGGCATTCCTCGCTCGTTGTTCTAACAACTCTCTTTCTCTTTCTGTCATCGCCGAACCAAAACCTGGCCTAGCTAGGCTCTAATACGATATCGTGTTTGTGTGCACTGCCGCCCTCAGTGGTCTGTAGTGTTGAGACTGGGTACTATGGTATCCCAGGAACAGCAGATGAAGGAAAGGACCATATATATTTCTCGTCACGCAAGCCCCTCAGGCAAGCTGGTAACCAACACGCAAGTCCCTCAGGCAAGTGAGCTCGTGGGCTCTTTCTCGCTCTAGCACCGGAGGTCTTCTCCTACCCCCCATTACTTCATACCCATCCACGTAACCCCCATCAGGCGCATACAGCGCATGTAGATCGGACACATATCCAAAGTACCATAAACAAGTTTCATGAGTAAACGAATGAAAGGTCTTCGAAAGAAGGTACTGCGTCTCATGGTACTCGCCACCCCTTCCCTTCGCGAACAAGTACAGATACCGCCCGCAGTTGAGAAAAATTCTGTTGAGACAAGGCTTCATGTTTGCACGAAAAATATGAAAAAGGGCTAAGAAACATGGCTCAATCTCGGCCACGACATTAGAAGCGCCCCAGTAAGAAACATGATGGTGCGATACGCACATGACATCAGAAATCTGCGGTGCTCCCACCCCCCTCCGAAGCTGAACAGAAAAGCATTTTTTTTGCAAGGAGCAGAGTCCCCGCCCCCCTCCCCGCGCCCCTGCTGTTCACAGTGATTGCTGTACTTTAGTACTGCCACACGTCGCGAACAGCCATGTGCTCTCCGCTGTTGTACGGGTTTGATGGCACTCTCTTGAGGGCTTGATCATGTGGATTGTCCTCAGAGATCACAAAGAAGAAAAGAAAACACGAAGTATCTTAGGAAAAA